ACAACGATTCCCAGCGGAGTTACACAACCGCACTGTTTTATGCTTACGACATTAACCAAAAATGTACTACGTACTGGAACAGACACCGCGAACAAAATCTGTGTGGCAGTGCGGGGCGCTTGGTGGAGACACAGAGTGCCTTTTTAACATGCTTTTATTAGCTACGCGTATCTATCTATCTATCTATATATCGATTTTTTTTTAAATGTAAGTTTCACCAACTAGTAGACGGCCGATTGACTTGAAAATTTACTCGTATTAAGGACCGATGACAACACAATAATTTAATAACTTTATCTTACTATCTTGATCAGGATTACCAGGATAATTGTCTCTAGAATCATCACAGCCCATGATCAAAGCGTGTTTTTTAAGTTTTCTTAAATATTATTAGGCACAGACTAACTAACTTTAAGCCCGTGGGCTCTAACGCGTGTTTCAAACAACCAAGTCTCGGCGTCTCTTCTAGTACGCAGTACATATTAATTCAATGGCTTACGGTGTGTTTTTATTTTAAAGATAAGGATACGAGGGGGACGGGGACCTTAACCGCTTCGATAGCGTTTTTCCTTTATCTTTTTTGCATGCATAATCAATTTTGCCGTCATGTAGGCCTGCCAATATTGAATTGTGGCTGGGTGTCCCATAATCGTATCATCTCGTAAGCAGCGTAATAGGCAACAGCGGAAAATGAAAGAAAGATAGTAAGTATTATCTTTCTATTAACAACTCGAAATATTAAAAAATACGTGTGAGTGTCGTGAAACACTCGGTTGGAACGAAGTTTCTTTCGTAGTATATTATTATTGAGGAACGTATTATATTATTGATTAACAAATACAAATAAATGAATTACTAGATTAAATTAAAATGAATATATATTAAAATGAAGCGTGATTAAAAATATAATAATATTTCTTTTTAGTATTATAGTTGTAGCATGAATGGGTCGTCCGGGGAAGGACCACGCTCTCACAGAATACCAGCGTGAAATAGCAGCTCAATGCTCCTGTGTTTTGTATGGCGAGTGTAGACCCGTAGACCCTATTTTCTGGAAACGAAGCATCCCATCTTAGTTCTCAGGGGGTACAACGGATGCTTGTTATGATAAATCAAGGATAAATGTAGATGTCTATGGGCCACAGCATCCACTTACCATCAGGGGGAATGTGTGCTCGTTTGTCACCCTTATTCTATAAAAAAATCTATCCAGACAGACGCCTAGATAGATAAGAAGTTCTACCACTTAGTACTTACTACCACAAACCTTTTAAAAACAGGTAGATTAAAGAACACTGCCATCACTTTACTTTAATCAAAAGTGTTTTATAAACTCCCTGTTTTATAAACCCCAAGGCCCTTAAAAAAAGGTTTCTTTTATTACGCCTACTTTCAGCTTTACGACGCGTTTAAGTGAAACCCTTCATTTGGACAGTATTTCAGTGACTTTGACTACCTCGTTAGTCGAGTGGTTGTAAACGTGATTACTGATCATGAGGTCTCTGGTTCAAATCCTAGGTACGGGTCAAAATCGGTTTCCTAAAAGAGAAAGTTATTCGGTTTTCCTGTCAAGAAATTCTCAGTAGCAGCCAGGAGTCAAGAAGTTGGCCGTGTTTCACCTCCGTACCTCAGAAAGCACGTAAAGACGTTGGTCCTGCGCCTGATCTGTTTCCGGTCGTGTCGGATTACCGTTCCATCGGTCTATGATAATGAAAGAATAGAGAGTGACCTGTGCTTGGGTATGCACTCGGGCATTATAATCCTGTCCTGTGCAGATGGCTAGTCTCTGTTGAGACCGGCCGCCGTGACCAAAATTCATTCTGGAGGACTTTATTATTATTTCAGTAACTAAGACCAGTGTTGAAAAACATCGCTTTAAAAATCGATCGACAACACTTTTTCAGCCTTTTTTATAGAACTAGTGATCTGCTACGACTTCGCTTGGATCTATTAAAGTAGTAGTATAAAGTAGATTTAAGATAATCTTTAAATACCATTTTAATTTATGAATGTTTCATTTCTGAAAAATAATCTCCAAGTTTTATGGATTATATATAGCCAATCACTCCGGGCATTGCCCTGTATCTGTTAGTCAAGTTTCATTAAAATCGGTATAACCACTTCAAAGATCATATATATATATATATATAATCCAGGGTAGGAAACGAGCTCAACCTGATGGTAAGTGGCTTCTACAGTCCATGGACACTTGCAACAGACTTCAAAAACAGCATGTGGATCATCACCTCGGAGGACTAACATGGTAACCACCAGTAAAACTTTAACATCAATTGAGTTGTGTACGACACTTCCATTAATATAAAATTCTATATAAATTCAACTATTTCAACATAATACGTAATTCACGAATCGTTCTACGTTGCAGATTGATTTCGCTTGCAGTGTTTTAACAATGTTTAAGTTACGACCCATTCTCTGATAGTAAAAGTTTCTCCTTGTTTTATATCACATAAAACCGTGTAAATAATCTATATAAGATCCTTATTGTATAGTCTCTCCACTGTATTACGCGTTTAGCTTTCACAGCAACCTACTTACGGTCAAGCTAGGGATTTAATTTTAGCCATATTTTTATCGAGGTCAACGAGTATATTAAGGAAAATATCGCGTGGAAAAACTGAAATACTAGCGAGACGCACCGATAAAAAATATTATATAAGGCCCTAATTTATTATGATACTTGCGGCAGCTTCGGCTGGATAGTGTCTATAAAAAATTTAGCATTATTTAGGTTTATAATTTAAAATTCATTTATTTTACAACAGACTTAAATATTAATTATTAAGAATAATTAAAAACCTATTGACCAATATATTGGACCACATGAGAAGCACCAGCTTTCAAATAAAGAAAGAATCATCGAAATCTGTTCACCAAGTAAAATAGTTATGAAGTAACACATAAAAAACAGATAGTCGAATTAAGAACCTTCTCTTTTTTAAGTCGGTAGAAAATAATCAAAGATCATTGAACATAAAACCTAAACACTCACGCCGGTCAGAGGGGTAGTCAGATACTACGGACTTCCATTAGGCACGATCCTCACCACTCTTTCATCTCCTTTACATCCATATACCTACGCATAGATGCTTGTCGGTTAAGTGCAGTTTTAACAACGCACACGCACACGCACACGCACACGCACACGCACACGCACACGCACACACGCACGCATACGCACACGCACACGCACACGCACACGCACACGCACACGCACACGCACACGCACGTGCACACGCATACACGCACACACGCACACACACACACACGCACACGCACACGCACGCACACACACACGCACACACACACACACACACACACACACACACACACACACACACACACATACACACACGCACACGCACACACACGCGCAATCACACTCGCACACGCACACACGCACGCACACGCACATATACGCGCACGCACGCACGCACGCACGCGCACATACACACACACACACACGTGCGCGCTCGCGCACACACGTATACGCATGCACACGCACACGCACACGCACACACACGCGCGCGTACGCACGCACGCCAAACCCACAAAAACAAAAACACTTTATGATATATTTTTTTATTATTATTTAAGATGAACTAAATTATTAGTAATAAGTTTTTAATAGAAAAGAGCCTCAACCAATTTACTATGTCCTTATTACCCATTAAACATTAATTAATTAATTGATATTGAGCTTAATTAATCGATGTTTTTATTGAGCTGTGCTAATACTTACCCTAGTTGCATTCCAGACATGAATAATCATTTTTAAAATATTTGTCAGTTCGGGCTAATCTTCAGTACCAATACAAACAAATAGATAGTATACCAGGGTATTCTAAAAAAGCTTCTTTTTTTAATTAATAGAAATGCATGGCATTTAACTGTATTTCACTGGATTGACACTAACACCATAATGCAAGAATCGGTCTTAAATGGTATTTAAATGAATTCCGTTATGTAGATCTTCTGAGCCGTGGTAGCTGAGGGGCTAAGCCCTGGCTATAATATTCACAGTACGCGAGCAACCCGGGTTCGATACTCGCCGGCACCAATGAAATTGTTAATTGCAATTTTAAGTGCTGATTTACCACATGCTCGCCAGTGAAGAAAAAATCGTGAGGAAACATGTATGAGAAATAAGAAAAAATATTCGAAGTCATATTAAGTTCACCAACACGCATTGGGGCACTCCGACGGACTTGTCCTCGCCCTAAAACCCTTTCAAAAATAAGAGGAGGCGTGTGCCCAGCAGTGGGACGTGTATATAGACTGCAACTTTAACTTTTTTATGTAGATCTCCAACGCCATATTGCACATATTTTCTATTACATTCTATTCATCGGTGTAGAGGTGTTACGAGCAGTCGATATTATGAGTGATCATTTTTATAAAACTTGAAATAGATGATAGGAGAAAGTATATCTGCCTTGCGCAAGCTGAGGTCATTTGACCTACGGGAACTGACTGCTCACGCACGCGATGCTATGATGCATACAGAAGACCAGCGTGAAGTAGAAGCTGTGCTTCTGCATTTCGTCTGGTGAGTGCAGGTGTCCGTAAGCCCAATCCTCCCCCCCCCCCCTTAACATGGTAGCGGAGTTAAATAATGCACTACCCCAGGAGGGTTTATTTATTTTTATTTATTTAAATTTTATTGAACCTTACACATTACGTAAAGCAACAAAAGGCGGATTTAATGCTAAAAGCATTCTCTGCCAGTCAACCTTAAGGCAGTGATATAACTACGAAGACGGTTACAAAGAAATATGCATACACACGTACATATACATATTATACATACATTTACATATATACATACATATACACACCCACATACATACATACATACATATATCAACCTGGTATTGATAAATAACACAATAAAATAACTGCAATCGACGAATCACGGTAGATAATAATTTTAAATACAGACTTACAGCTTGTTTTTCTGTTGTCAGCAGGTAGTGGTCATGGGCAGCAGCACAGCCTCCGACAAGACGATCAACACCAGTACGGATTCTGCCGCAACCGCCCTCACCTCAGTCACCGGTACCGACGACTCCATGGACGCTGAGGCGGATCCCCCGGAGATCCAGCATCAGCCACCGAGCCTCATCGACGCCGACCCTACCCCACCACAAACCCATCCAAACCCCCCAAGCACAGCACCGCCCCATTACCATCGCGCACATAACAGTTGCGATATTGATTCACCGGCTTTTACTAAGCCCCAGTCGGCCACAGACGTTATAGAATCACCCAGAGCGGGTCCAGCCAGATTTGTCTTCGATGTACCTCTGCCTGAACCAAAAAGAAATGAAACGAAATCTAGAAATAAAATCCAAGTAAACCAGACAAGCGGGCCGTCCACGTCGATTCAAATTCCCTTCGACCCTAAGTTAGAGCCCCCGAAAAGTCCAAAAGCGAGCCAAACGAAATATGAAACACATTTCATATTTGAGCCAGAGCCAGCGAAGAGGCGGGGAAGCGAGTCAAGGGTGAAGAACAAGCAAAAAGTGGACAAGCAGGAATATTATAAAGATGAAGTGGCCAAGTTAAGAAGGCAGCTCGAAGGGACAGAAGTTTTCACCACCTCTCGACGACGTTCTTCAGCGCATCAGCATTCCGTTCCGCCTCCTTCTTCTAGAAGACAATCTACAGGTACGATTTAGATATCAAATATTTCAGTGATACTCGTCAGATTTTACCCATCCAAAAAGCGCCCAACCAGACGCGACACATGTCATACTTATTGGTTACAAGTATACTGTTAACTTTAAACGCCGGTGACATGAACTCATTAGATTTTACGAATCCAAAAAGCACCCATTCAGACGCGAAACACATATTATATGCTATAGTAATTAAAAAAAGACTTAATAAAACTGGCCAAGTGCGTGTCACGTCACGCACAATGTAGAGGTAGGGTTCCGTAGTTGCCCGTCATAATACGTAGGCATTCTTGATAATGAGCACAATAAACCTAGTATTATTATGGGACCTGGGATATGGATAAATTAAGCTTCAAACCAGCTTACTTACTGTCTACCAACAAAACTAACCTTTAAACCTACTAAGTATTTAATATTATACCTAAAAACCTCAGTTTATATTCAGTACTTGATCTCTGTTAAGAATAAATTTACCAGAAGGTAAAGCTTTTGTTAAAAAAATCTGCAAGTTGATTTGAACTTTTCACATATTGAACATTTATTACATTTTGTTCTACCTTTTCTCTGATGAAATTATATCTTATGTCTATGTGCTTTGTTCTTTTGTGGTAAATAGGATTATGAATGAGTTTAATAGCACTCTGATTATCTATACATAGGGTTATCACCAATTGTGGTTCATCAATATCAATTAATAACTGCCGAAGCCATAAAATTTCTTTGGCAGCCTCACTTGCAGCCATATAATCTGATTCTGTAGTTGATAATGCCACAGTATTTTGCTTCCTGCTAGCCCAAGAAACAGGTCCACCATTCATCATAAAAATATATCCTGTATTAGATTTTCTAGAATCAATATCTGAGGCAAAATCAGAATCAGAAAAACCTACTAGTTCTTTGTTACCATTATGAGTAATACAAACATCTTTTGTCTTTAACAAGTACCGAATAATTCGTTTAACAGCATTTACATGGTCTTTACTGGGATTATTTAAATATCTACTAACTACATTCAAAGAATAAGAAATGTCAGGCCTAGATACGGTTGACAAAAACATCAGGGCTCCTACTGCTTCCCTATATGGAAAATTAATGTTACTCTCACTATCGTTTTTCTTTAAAATTACATTATTGTCAGCAGGGGTACTACAAGGATTGGCATCTGACATGTTGAATCTATTTATAATTTGTTTTATGTACTGTTTTTGACTTAAAGTAATTATTCCATCATTTTTAGTTATTTCCATGCCAACAAACATATTTAAATTAAATTCTTTTATCTTAAAACTTTGTTTTAAATCATTTATAATATGCAACAATATACTTTTACTTTTTGACAATAATAAAGCATCATCTACATACAAGATCAAGATAACTTTATAATTATTAAAATGACCCACAAATATACAGTTGTCAGAGGGACACATTTCAAAACCATAAGTAGTTAGGAAAGAAGAGAATTTTCTATTCCAACAGCGTGATGACTGTTTTAGCCCATATATTGATTTTATTAACTTACAGATTTTCCTTGGCTCAGCATGGACACCTTCAGGCACCTCCATATAGACATCCTCTGATAACTCACCGTACAAAAATGCTGTTTTGACATCAAATTGTTGTAGTTCATAATTCTCTCGAGCTGCAAGAGATAATATTATTCTAATGGAATCGAATCTTGTTGTTGGTGAAAATGTTTCCTTGTAATCGACGTTCTTAGTTTGTGTAAACCCACGTGCACAAAGACGAGCTTTGTATCTTTCTATATCACCATCTGAATTTCTTTTTACACAAAATACCCATTTTGAGGTCACTGTTTTCTCATTATTTCTGTTTACTAACTTCCAGGTTTTATTTTCTTTTAATGACTCTAATTCTTCACATATAGCTTCCTTCCATTTATTACTATTTTTACAGTTTATAGCTTCTTCATATGTCGTAGGTACATCTAACTCAATAAAATTTGCTTCTTCATTTCTTTTCCTTCTAGGTCTCAGTGTAATATTTCTTTCATCATCTTCAGAAATTATTTGTGGAGGCTGGTACGTCACATCATTGGGATCTTCTTGTGTTTCTACACTTTCAAAACTAGATTCAGAAATATTTTGGTTGTCTCCTGGAGAAACTGGTATATCTTGTATGCCTTCTCTTTGCTCTTGTTCATCGGTGATAGAAATTGAAGTTGTGTGTTTCCTCAGTACTGGTATGTTGTTCTCATTGAAGTGTACATTTCTACTTATTGTTATCTTCCCACTTTCAATATCAAACATTCTATAATTTTCATTTTCATATCCTACTAATATTAATCTTACACTCTTTTTATCTAGTTTTCTTCTTCTTTCATCAGGTATATGGACATATCCTTCTGAACCAAATACTCTTATATGTTGAAGGGCTGGCTTCTCTCCATTCCACAGCTCATATGGGGATACATCCTTTGTCTGGGTAGAAGAACTTCGATTTAATAAATAAACAGCACAGTTTACTGCTTCAGCCCAGAGATCCAATGAGATATCACGAGAGTACAACATAGATCTTGCACTCTCTATTATTGTCCGCATTTCTCTCTCCACTCTACCGTTTTGTTCAGGCGTGTAGGGTGCTGTGCGTTCATGAACTATTCCTTCACTATTCAAATAAGATTTAAGTTCATTGTTAACGTACTCACGTCCATTGTCTGTATGCAATATAGGAGTGCCATGACCAAACTTATTTTTCACTATTGCATTGTATTTCTTAAAGCAATCACTTTTGTGCTTGATAATAAACACATGTCTATAGCTGGTGGCACCATCTTTAAATAAAACAAAATATCTTGCTCCAGATACAGATGTATGTTCTACAGGTCCACACACATCACTGTAGGTTAAATCACCAGGTTCACATTCTCCTCTACAAGATTTATGAAATGGCACAAGCGGCTCCGTTTGCCATATTGACAAGCCTCACACACAAAGTTGATGTCATCCGTTAACTTTACTGGAATTGCACCATTCTTGCTCATGTTTTTCACTTCCTTCAAGTTTAAATGTCCCAAACGTTCATGCCAGATTTTCAAACTTGACTGTGCTAAATTACAATCTATTTGCACTGTGGTTTTAATATTTACTTCATATAGATTTTTGTTCGTAAATTGATTCCAACCTTGTCATCACTTCCTTTGCTGTTTCACAATTTTCAATTAATGAGATTTGGTTCAGTTCCATAGACGAAGTTAATAGAAACATGGCCATGCCATCATTTTTGTCCCACTGCGTCGTATCACCCACCGTCGGTTTTTTTTCATGGATATTTAAACCTTTCGCTTTTAAGGCACAACTGACTTGAAATTTCCATTGTCGAAAATCCTTGCCGTTAAACTTCTCAATTCTCATTGAAAATGAAAAATGAAAAAATGATTTATTGATTTACAATGATACAATTTAAAGCAGTCGCAAGGGCCCCTGTACTAGGTTGGTTACCTGTGTTACTGGGTACCCCGCTCATCCACCAAGACTATACAATATTAATCAATAAATAACAAAAGGCAAGGCATGCGCTAGCATTAAGGAGTAATGTAATTTATAATATAATAAGTGTGTGTGTGTGTGTGTGTGTGTGTGTGTGTGTGTGTGTGTGTGTGTGTGTGTGTGTTGTGTGTGTGTGTGTGTGTGTGTGTGTGTGTGTGTGTGTGTGTGTGTGTGTGTGTGTGTGTGTGTGTGTTGTGTGTGTGTGTGTGTGTGTGTGTGTGTGTGTGTGTGTGTGTGTGTGTGTGTGTGTGTGTGTGTTGTGGGTATTTGAGCAGTGCTTTAACAATTGGTGAGGCTGTTCCAAGTATAAAAGTTAAGTAATAAATTGTTCAGTTTCCTCGTAGTTTAGTTTTAATAAAAATTGTGTTACTACACGTTTGACTTTAGTCCATGTCAGGGGGTTAATATGCAATCTGCTATTAAATTTATTGTAAAGAGATATGGATTGGAATGCGTATTGTTTTTGCTTAAATTTTGTTTTATTTTGTGGTATATGGCAAATTTTGGTGCTCCTACGTTTTGGTGTATGATGACGTATATAAGGTAAATGTCGATGAGTGTTTAGGATGCAATTCAATATATAAATCTGGCGAGTGCTAAGCAATTTATAAGACTTATGTAGTTCAAAAGTTGAAAATCGAAACGGTTTAAAGAACATTACCTTAATTAAAGATCTTTGAGCTCTTTCTAGTGCTATTATACGTGTTTTTGCTGCACCACCCCAAACAGGTATACAATAACTCAGTACCGATTGCACAAGAGCTTTGTAGATGGTAATGAGGGTCGTTTCATTTGCAACACACCTGAGTTTTTTGAACACCCATGTTAGTTTTCTTATCCTGTCAGCGATACTTTCAATGTGCTGACTCCATGTAAGATGCTGATCAATAGTTACACCGAGATATTTAATGGTACTAGTCCTGGTGATTTTATCACATGAGCAATTACTGTGGCTATTTAAATAAGGATTATGGCAGGTATGAACTGTTAGATTAAAATTAGAATCAGGTTGTGTATTTTTCCGTATAGAAAAAGGAATGAATTTAGTTTTATTAATATTTAGGGTCAGAAGGTTTGATCTTAGCCAGTTAGATATGTGGTGGATTCCGGAGTCAGCGATAACCCTTAGATTTTCCCATGATTTTGCATTAAAAATAAGAGCGGTGTCATCTGCGTAGGTATATATTTGACAATTTTGTAGGCTTAGATTGCATAAATCGTTGACATAGATTAGAAATAAAGTAGGCCCGAGGACGCTACCTTGAGGAATACCATAGGAGATATTTGATGGACTGCTAAGATATTCACCAAGTTTGAGTTGTTGCTGACGTTCATTGAGATAATCTGATAGAAGCGCATGAGGCAGACCTCTTATACCATATTTATTTAGTTTGTCTAACAGGATAGGAATAGAAACGGTGTCGAACGCCTTGGCCAAATCCAAAAAAACTCCAAGACATTTGTTACCAGAGTCCAGGTGCTT